GATAAAGAGTTATTTGGTGTTTGGACCATGGTGGTAGGCTTGGTTGCTGGGCAGGAGGTGTTTACGGTTTGTTGAGTAACTGCTAGTGGGGAGGATTGTGATACAATAGTCGTCGGTTTAGTAGTGTCACTCTGGAGTGATTGTTGGGTTATTTTAGTAGGACAACAATGAAGATTGTGTCCAAAGTGGTCACAGGCTTGGCATCGAGGAGGTGTCCAGGCGTAGGATGCCTTGACCGTCACCACAACACCTCTTTCGTCCTCAATCTCAACACACTCAGGCAAAGATGAGCCGAGACTGACTTCGATTTTAACTCGTGCTTCACCAACACTTAAGGGATCCAACCGCATACGCTCGGTATGCAGTAGTGAGGACCGATTGACGGAAGCTACGTTTCGCAGACCATTCTATCACCGAAAACATCACATCTGCCACCCGCCATATCCCTACTTCGAGAACCCATTCTCTAGTAGCAATATCTGCAATGTATATGAGGCATGTTGAGTTGTTCATCCATCGGACATGTATTTTGGATTTACGCCCCCAGATCGGATTCAAGGATTGAAAGATCTTGGATCCGGAAGGAGCGATTCCATAGAAGTGTCCCACTAAATAGCCGGTCCATGTCTTGGATGCCTCGGCTAGGACAGAGCTCGGTACCCGAATCCTCGGATGACCATCAACAGAGATGGTTGGTGTTGCCACTCTGTTGAGATTTTTGGACAATGTTCTGAGACGTTTCGCCCATGGGTAACCACCTTGAGGGGCTGAATTAAAAGTTGTCTGTACGACAGGAGTAGGAGGATGGGTAGCGACTGACCGTGGGGCGGAAGAGACAGTACTGGTAGATTTACCCAGTGGAGGAAAATCACTGAGGGATAGTTTGTCATTGGTGGGGGGAGATGGTGGATATGGGCTATAGATGACTTGTGAAGGGTTGTCTGAGGTTTGGGATACCGGATCTAGTGTGGCAGATGGCAGATCTGATGAGGTAGACGGTGGATCTGAGCCGGAGTTAGTGCTTTGGATGCGTTGTGTAGACTGGTCTCCCTTGTTCCTCAGGGGAGAGAAGCTCTGCTTCTTCTTCTTCTTACCCATGTCAGCGGGAGTGAGTCGGCCCAACCGACCGGCTGTTGAGGTTGCCGGCGGGAGACTAAGTGAGGGGGGCGACCATTCCTTTTTTGTTTTTCCAACGCTAAATGATGATCTCTCTATATTGTCTCGCTTTTGATGTAACGTGAGAAGTTGTTCCACATGAAACATGTTTCCATCATGTTCGCATAATAGTCCAAAACTCTTGGAGCGACTTCAAGTAACTCTTTTATAAACCTCGTGTTCAGGCTTTTAGATTCTGATGAACTGTCATCTCAAGTATTGGTGGATATTAAAGTTAAAACACTCGATTCATCTCTTACTCTTATTTCCTATTGAAGTCGTAGATTCTATATGAATGTCTCTTTTAAAAGAATTTGATGTAGGGATTACAATAACGTTTCCCTTTTCTAAGCTTTTGCTCTAATCCCATCTTTGACTTCCATCGAATGTTACATATCATGCAACTGTAACTCTTTGTTTCTCTGGTAGGTAAAATATGTAGTCTTTGCTTTGACTATTATACTCATTGAGTACGCTTTTCTTCACTTTGTCTCCTAGTTTTATTCGCCTTTCGTCTGATATATAGACAACTGTATTCTCCAATGTCGCTGAAGATAATTGATTTTGTAGATATTCTGCATTATATATTACCTCCACCTAGATTTTTATTTTTCATTACGACTTCTTTCGGCATCGCTCATACCATCTCAATCACACTTTGATTTTTCCTTTCACTTACTCCATTTTATTGTGAATAGTATGCCACAGTGAGCTGCTTTGAGATACCTTGAATTCCGCAGTATCTTGCAAATTCTTGGGATGTGCTCTTTTCCTCGATCTGATTTGATCTTTTCTTCACCTTAGTTCTCCTTAAACTTTTTGAACACACCAAATATTTCTGACTTGTTATTCAAAAAGTATACTCATGCCATTCTTAAATAATCATCGATGAAGAGTAAAAAATATTTGTTTCTATCAAGTGAAGGTGTTTGCATGGGACTACATATATTCGAGTGCACTAGTTTCACCTTCTTCTGAACTCTTGATGAAGATGTTGGAAACATGAAATATTGATTGTTTTCTTAATTGACATGCTACACACACTTCATCATAGTTGTCAAAGTTAAAGACTCATTTCGTTATTGTGAAGTAGCTTTTGCATGTATGAGTTACTACTATGTTCGACCTTTCGGTGCCACAATTGAGCCATTGTTTCTTCTTTAGTCGCGTAAGTAAACTCGTTTGGCCTCATAATCTTTATTCGGAAACTCTTCCTTCTTCGTTTGTGTTGGGATTCCTGGGATTCCATTAATTTAATTCAGAATCCAGTTCTAGAGTTCATGTAGCGGAAGATAAAACAATTTTTTTTTCTCTAAAACAACACTAAAACCGAACATACTTTATATGTAGATTTCATAAAAAAAAAGACTAATCTCAAAACGATCTGGGGCATGTCTCACAACTAAATCGTTTGATCACAAGAAAGTTGGAAGAGTACCATACCCTCTACATGTATCCACACATCATGATGAATTCCAATGGTTGTAACTCAACTGTTAGAACAATAGATCTCAATCTCTATTATGTGCAATGTTTTTGGGAATCAAAATTGGGTTTTAGAACTCTTAGATCTGATCTCAAAGTCTGAGGAGGCGTACCAAAATCCTATGAGTCGAACCCCTATTTATTTAAGTGCCGAAAACTCTAATCCTTATTAATCTCGGATTTTTTACGAAGTTGGACTGATCGGTCTAGGTTTGGACCGATCAGTCAAGCGTAAACTTCTTTGAACTTTTCAAACCTATATGTAGACCAATCGGACAACGACTGGACCAGATCCATCCACGACTAGGCTAGTCCGGTGTAACATGTAAATCGGTCAGTCCGAAGTTATTTTGACTGCAACTCGTCGATTCTCGCACTTACTTTTCTGTCCCTTTATGTATGACCCTATAGGCCCATCCGTAATAGTAGTAAAACACGGAATCCACATTCCGGTGATACAAATCATTGACGATCTCTACCAAGACACTATGACTACCTATTCCGAAAAGAGTTAGTCTAGTGATCTAATGAAAGTCGATAATAGTGCATAAAATGATCCCTTTGTAACGCAATATCATTTTCGACATAAGGCATGGAGGAAACCACCGTATCAGATTCTATTGCTTTCTCGTTCGTTGAATTAACTGAAACTACATATCTCTTCATCTGGTTGCGTGCATCTTAGTCTCAACTCACTCGAGAGACCCAAACGATATCTCTATCAGTACAAGAGGTATAAATCTCGTATTGACTAGCTACTATTCTAAACATGATTTGTGTCGTACCAAAGAGATGCCTTTATAGCCTTCCCGTTACGCAAGATGTTTGACGCAATCAAAATACATCACTCCTCATATCGGATACCGCGCGTAGACATCTAGACTAAAGGATACAATCGTGAACCATCACATGAGATTCAAGTCATGGCTAAAGTCCATGTGACAATCTCATATGAGTCATCCAATACTCATACTAGTCTTAATATATTATCATTCCCAAAATGATATATGATTAGGGAATTTAGGATCGTTCATAACGAAACATGGATTTCATCATTCATCAAATATGCAAAACGAATAACGAAAAAGAATATTCATTCACTTAAATAATCATGAACTGTCAACCAAAATATCTCGATACTCATATCGTAGAACACAATAGAGCACCTGAACTAACATTTGTACTTCGGTAATTTTCCTCTCCATAGGATCACAAATCACACAATTACTTTCTTTAAAGTTGAGTTATCCATTTAGAACCATTTTGAGGAATACTGAGTAGGGTCTTTTCTAACTTCTGAACATAGAATTAGTGTCGGACCCAGGAGAGATTATGACTGGGGCAAATAATATACATACTCTAATTTTAAGGAAAAAAATAAAAACAAAAAGTGAAAGGGACACAAAATTTTTAACGGGGGCACTGCATTAATTCTTATTAAAACTTAATACATTTATAACTAAATTAAAATTTTAGGTGGGGGCACATGACCCTACTCAAATATGAGTGGGTCCGCCCATACATAGAATACATCCTTGATCACTCTTGCACATCTCTTCGTTTTTACCACAATACATCCCTTTCATTCCGTCAAAATTACAGTTTCATCTCTACTTGGATAGGGCCTTGATATTTCGATTTATTTTCTTAAAGTACTGAATATTATGTAATTTGTGCACATCAATTAACTACAGATATCTCGGTTACCGATGAGGGGAGAATGATCGTTAGCATGAAATGACACATATAATGAGAGACTCTCGGCAAACTTTTAGATAGGAGGGACACAGGGACGAATTAAATGAACTAAAATGAGAAAGATCTTAGGGCTATATAAGTATGAAACTAACAATCAAATATAATTTAAAACAATTAATTGAGCTATTTATAATAATAATATAAATCTACCTTTTCGAATATTTATCATGCGAGAACTCCAAAAATAAGCGTGTTTGCATTGAACTAAATTTTAAAATGGATGAACTCTTATGAAATACTTCTCGCAAAATGTGTGAATAAGGACAAAACAAGTTGAAAGCTCTCGTGTTAATCGATGGAACAATTTTAACTTCCGTAATATTCGTGAGACATTATAATTTGTGTCGAAATCAATTAGTTCGAGCTATAGAAGACGATAATCTCATAAATATATTTTTATTTATTTTAGTTTTTAAAGTTTTTCAAAATTTTAATTTTTTTAAAAAGGATTGACAAACTCTAAAAATAACGTTTAGAATTAAATATGATATAATTTTAAAATTTTGAATTTATTTATCAGACAAAACTAGAGTATGAGATCATTCAATTAAAAAAATAGTCTATTTTTTTTTTATAGAAAATTTGACAGAGTTATTTTTTTTTCTAATTTCCCTTAATTTTATTAGGGTTTAGGAAACAAATTAGGAATATCCAGAGTGGGATATCCAAATTACAGATATTTCTCAAACTTATAAATGTGTAGAAATGACCCCAAATTCCGTCCAAACCCATTAAAACAAAATCAAAATCTTAAACATATAGAAAGAAAAAAAAAAACAGAAGCATGTGTCTGTTAGAGTTTCTCTGTGTTTGGTCGTGCGAAAGCATCAAGAAGCGTCACGGAGCTTAAGCTGAGGAGTCCAACTGAGATGAAGACAAAGCTTCCCTGATTTGGCTCCGTCTATGGTGAAACAGTCTTGAACCTCTCCTTCCAGCATCACTCTCGTCAGTGTCATTATCACTTTCCCGATTTTATCCTTCCAAGGAAAAAAAAACCATTAACCATCAGATCCATGGAAAAGAATATGAATGCTCCTCGTTCGTTCGATGCCCATGTCCATATCGAAATACCTTGCCGAATTTATCATGGTCCCAGACCTCGAGGATCAGAAGTTCATGCAGAGCATCTTCCACTACGAAATCAAACGTCTGGTTCCAAACTGGATTCAGGCTGTCTGGTACGACCTGCGAGTAAAAAAGAAAGATTGATTTCGAATGTTCCGACTATGAAAACTGACGGTGGAAAGAAACTCACCCTCGTCTTGGCTTTAACGTCTGATTTCTTCATGGTGATAACTACAAACGGGTCGGCTTTTCCCATGAAATCTACGGCCGGCAAACCTTCAGCAGCCACTACCGTCACGGACAACACTCCTCTCACGATTACCTCTCTTTTCTTCGGCGACTTCTTAAGATTCACACCTTCCGAATCATCGCTTTCGGGCTTAAGTACCTTCTCTAGTGTTGTCAATGCGAAATCATGATTATACGGACTCTTGAAGCTGCTCTCTGTGCCAAAGGGACAGTAGAGAAGCTCCAAATGCACCTATTCCACGTCAAAACATCCGGAATATAACGGAAAATAAAATGACATTATATGAATACGAAAGAGCAGTTATGTTATGTTTTTTTTTGGTGAAATTCTAACCTGGCCTCGGTCTTTTGTATCCCTTTGGACCTCCAAATCCTTGACTAGTTTCAACCAGACATCCTTAACTTTACCCGGCTCGAGATCTTTAAGCGGCACTTGAGCAGCCCCGATAAGCTGTGAGGCCTGAATCCCCTCGTCGTCAAAGATTCTAACAGTCAAATGCTGAGTCGAGACGTCTTCCACTATGAACTCATAGTGTTCATTCCAAATTGGATTCAACGAGTTATTCTGAAGGGATATATCGAACAGTGAGTTATGCACAATCCATATCAAAATCAAATGAAAGAAAAAGAAAACCCGTCGTACGATTGTTTTGCTCTTTTTCGTTTTCTCACGCAATGGGCGAATGAATAACATGGCGTAGGGATCAGATTTTCCGATGAGGTCTTTGTTAGTCAAGTCCTTGGCCTGCACAAGCTTCACCTCCAATGTCCCAACAGGTTTTAACTCCAAGTCACTGAAATAACATTCCCGAGTTTTAGTGACTGAAACCATCCTAAGTAAATGGAAAATGAACTGTGGCTCAATAAGCAAAACCTGTAATCTCCCGCCAGAATCGGTACGATTTTCCTAACAGGCCACGTTATGCTGTCCTCAATAGCATCTCGAATAGTTTCCTGCAAAGTTGTTTTTAAGAATTTTGGATAAAATTTTGTGACTTGACTCCGGAATCAGACCCATCATGCTAGGTAAGAAGAAAGATAAACAACAAGACAAACTTCTTCTTGCAAACCTCAATCGCGTCTGATATCCCCGGAAGCGCTGATATGTCGCCGCCGATAACTTTTAGGGTGAAATCAAGCTCTTTCTGTGAACACATTTCACAAAAAAAAACTCAGTCATTCGAGATCGGTGGAATGACCATATAGTTTAACTATACGAAAAGTTTGTCTTCGACATGTATGTACCTTCTCTCTCAGGGAATAAGAAACTGCGCCGAAGCAGGGGAATACGTCGACTAGAGGTTTGAAGATCAGCCTGAAAACCCCCGTGAATCCGATATTTTTCACCTATGCAAACAAGACAAGGACTTAAAGACAGAGTCCATAATGCTTTGTTTGCTAATCTCGATGTCTGAAAAACCATAAATTTATATCGTTGCAACCGAAACTACAAAGTACCTCGATCGGTAGAGCCACACCAACCAAGGTCTTGATATCCAAAACGATTTTCGGGTTGCCATCCCATTGCATTTCCAGTTCCATCGTAATCCCGTCACTTCCGCTTTCGCTTTCTAAAACCGAAACTCCTGAAATAAACATCCATTTGGCATTTTAGTGTCGTAACCATACATTTCACCGAAACAAAACGCATGGACAGAAACTATATATATGTCCCATACTCTTGTTCTTCTGCAAGTAGTTAAACCCAGATTGCTAGAATGGAAAACTCCTGAAATAAACATCCTTATCTTTCAACATTTTATCTCCCGAATCGGAACTTGCACAGAAATGTTCACTCATCTAAGAATCACGGTTATCAACCTGTCCTTCGGGAAAGAAGGAAACTTGGACAATTTTATGGAAACTCCTGAAGCAAAATCTATAATTGCTTCGATCTCGTGTCTGGATACTATTGATTAAGCAAAAGTAGTAGGAATCACAAATATATGCATGCATCTAATTCGACATGGATCATACCCTTTCTTCATAAGCGCCGACAATCATTACTAGATAAGTGACAGAAGAGAGAAAGATCATTAGCTGACAAAACCAACCTGTGAACTGAGGAGCCACAGTCCCAAGGGTCAGTTTTGAAAACTTGAGAGATGCTAATACAGCTGGTCTATATTGTTCAAGAATTGGTTCCACACTGCTCCTGATCAGCTCAGAAGCTGCCTAAAATAAGAATCCAACGTATGAATTCGGGTTCAATTTGGCGGGAAATCAACGCATTTCTGCAAGGAAAAAAATGCAGTAAAACAACATGTTTACCTCATTTACATAAGGCCAGATCTTTTCGAGTTGGAGATTAAACCAATTTAACTGTAAGTAAGGAACAAGAATCAATATCCAAAACAACAACACCGAAGCTTGAAAGAAAAAGGCAGAAAAGGATTGAAGGGCTTTGGGAATTTACTCAACTTCTGTCTCTGCGAGAACACAACCCAGGAAGGATAACTTTCACCGGGAAGGATTTTCCTGGAATCTTGAACCGTCATCCTTGCAAAAGCTGCAATGGTTCTCGCCTAAAACAAAAACAGAAACCTGTTTCCCGTTTCATTTGTCCAAATGAATCGTAAGCAGTTGAAAGCACAAGAACTCTACGTACAAACAAGACAACCCTAAAAGGAATATCAACATACACATGGCCTGCATGAATGTGAACACGATCATGCTGCATGAATCTAAACCTTGTCGAAACAACAAACCAGAGGGAGTATATGATGTATACATACACATATATGTACGCGTGCGTGTATATTGTGATAAGATTGGGTATGTGATGAGTACCAATTCAGCTCGACTTTTCGATCGGACATTAGAATACCGCGCGAAGGCGATGACCAAACCGACGGCGACGGCGATTCCGATTACCAAACCGAAGAAAAATCCCATTTTTCCTCGATTTAAGAGGAACCCACATGAAAATGGATCGAACCCAGAAAAAATTTCAGCGCTTTTTCTTTAATCTCAGATTCATCGTCGCATCTGTGAGAGGAAAAACAGAATGCTCTGCTTCGAGAAAGCGCGAGTGCGTTGGAAGGAGAATAACAGAAACAGAGACAATCGATTAATCAATAACTAAAGATTGCTTGGCTCTTAATTAATCTATAATTTATTTATTTTTTTTGTTTCCTTTGCTCTTTTCGCTTTATTCTCCATGTCTCTTTTCTTCTTCTCCTGCGTGCTTCTTTTTTCTCTATATATTCTTCCATCTTTTTTCTTGAACAATACGACGGGAAATTGCAGAAGAAGCTAGGTTTTGCTTACCACGATATAATATTAAGTTGTTCGAATTCATGATTAATGATCACGGACTAATATTTATGTTTGGATATTCAAAATCATACTAAACTCGAATAATTTATAACTATATCTAAATTTGATTTTAAAATTTATCTGAATATATGTCTTTCTATATTCAAATTTTAGTCGACTGAAACTAAAAATTCCCAAATTTTTGGTGGAAAAATAATTCTTATAATTTTAGTGTATCTAATTATTTCTAAATATACAAAAGTCATATTGATTGTTAACGTAAATTGATCAAAATAATACTGTAATAAAATCTTACATGGTACGTAAGATATCAAAATCATAATTTTATAATATATTTGCAGAATTGAATTTAATATCGGTTTATCAAAATCCGTTCCAATTGGATTTAATAAACCCACACATTACGTCGAACTCTTATAGACATTACGACAAACATATTATTATTATTTCGAACCGATTTTATTAAATATGATTTTGTATACATAATACAAAATTCTGACATATCTTGATATCTTAATGCCATTTTATAACAATATTATTTTGGTTAATTTACCGTAAGTATCAATATATCACTTTTAAACAATTTTAAGAATTATTAAGTCATTTTTTTCTAAGTATAGGAATAATTAGTTACATTAAAAAGTATAGGAATTATTTTTCTACGAAATTACAAGTTTAGAAATTTTTAGGAGTTTTTTCCTTTTTTAAATCATGAAAAATATTAATTAAAATTAAATTTGCTTAAAAATAATATTTGATTAATAAACTCAATAGAAAATCAATAAAATTAAATACGAAAAGAATAAGAATATATATATGTATTTTATAAAACTAAATAAACAAGAAACGAACTTGATTATATAAGATTGCACTCGCAATAATAATTATCATTAATAATAATAAGGATATTTATATAAGGATATTAGGGTTAGTTATGGTAAACTACAATTTTATATAAATATGTATTTATACGCCCCCATAAGATGAAGTATCTAAAGTGAGTCCAATCTTGACATAAAGATTATGAAACGCTAGGTTCGGAAGAGGTTTAGTGAATGTATCCACAAGTTGATCCATAGATGAGATATGAGTAACTTGAATTTCTACAGATTCCATTAGACCCCGAACAAAGAAATAGTGATATATTTCATGTGGGAGTAAAAAACCAGATTCGAGCTGAGATAGGTCGCACCAATGTTGTCACAATAAACCACTAGAGGAGCAGAAGGATGAAAGCCAAGTGTAGTGAGAAGGACGAGACCCACTAGACTTCAGCAGTTGTAGCAGCCACCGAGCGGTATTCCGCCTCGATGGATGAGTGGGAGACTCCCGACTATTTTTTGGATGACCATGAGATGAGATGGCTACTATTTGATTATAATTCAATTCGTGACGATCATAAGTTGAAAAAGGTATAAAATGTAGGCTCGAGTAAACTTGAAATCAGAACGATCACTGACCCAATCTGCATCCGAAAAGACATAAAGTACGAGAGAATTTTAACTCCGAAAAAAATACCATATTGCTTCATCCTAACAAGATACCGTAGAACTCGTTTCACTGTTTTCCAATACCCATCTATAGGTGTATGCATAAACTGAGAGAGCTTGTTCATAGCAAATTGAATATTCGGTCGAGTGAGAGATATATAGATACTAAAGTAGTCGCACGATCAATAAGAGAGCCTGACGCGATGGATAGACGAGACGTAAAGACCATAGGAGATGACATAGGCTTTACATCCACCATTTGTACTCCATGCAAGAAGATTAGAGATATATTCCTACTGGGTTAGAAGAAAACCCTTCAATGTACGAGATGTTTCAATACTGAAGAAATATGACAGATCACCAAGATCTTTAATGGAAAATCTTGTAGCAATGTCCGAGATACATGATAACATATGATAGGGAGCTTCAAGCCACAATTATATCATCAATATAGACCAAAATGATAACTCGGATATCCGCTTCATGAAGAACAAAAAAGGAAGTGTCGGCCAAAAAATTCCGAAATCACGGCTGAGAAGATAAGTGTGAACCGAGTACCATGCATGCAGTGTTTGTTTGAGACCATAGATAGCCTTTCGAAGTTTGCAAACATAGTTTGGACGCCGATGATCTATAAAACCCGGGGTTACGTCATATAAACCTCCTCAGATTCCAACCATGAGAAACCACAAGACTGAGGACAACGTGGATTATAGTAGGCTTAACAACCGCACTACACGTCTCATGGAAATCAACGCCTGATCTCTGATGGAATCCCTTGGCAACTAGCCGAGCCTTGTACCAATCAATAGTCCCATCAGGTTTCCATTTGACGTGGAAAACTCACTTGCAACCAACAACATTCTCAGCACAGATCGAGACACGAGATCCCACACATCTCATTTCGGCAAAGGTCATCAAATTCCTCGGTCATGGCAGCCCGTCATCGTTTGAGAGCTTGAATCACATTAGTTAGTTCGACATCAACATCCGAAGTAGAGACCATGAGTGTGAACTTTAGATTCGACTTGGTAATGTGTTTCTTGGACCGAGTCTACATAGGATGGATGTTAAAGGGGAGCTGTGACGCTATCGGGGCAACCGACTGTTGTGAAGAAGTCGAGGCCGTATCTGTCTGAGATGAGGAAGAAGCCAACCGGGAAGAAATTAGAGCTCTGAAGAAGCATGAGTATTTGGCACCGAAGCATGCTCAGGAAGAGACCGTGTCTAAGTAAAAATAGGCACTTAGGATGTGAGAATACCCATGAAAAACACAAGGCCGAGAGTGGGGTTTAAGCTTGTGTGACATGTATGATTGTAGCCAAGGATAACAAAGACATTCGAACATGCGAAGCTGATGGTTGTGATGCTCTATGATGATCATACGATATGAGAACTATGTATGATATGATGAATTCATTGGATGAATGCATTGTTTGTTCATTATTTATTTTGCATATTTGATAAATAATGATATCCATGGATCGTTATGAACGATCCTAAATTTCTTAGTCGCTTGTCATTGTGGGAGCAATGATGAATTAAGACTAACATGAGGCGTGATAGATGATCATGGTGATGATCATGTGTATTGGATACAGATCACGGTCATGAGTACTTGTTTGGAACAAGTGACTGAATGACTAGCGTGAGATTGTCGATTGGATTTTATCCATGACTTGAATCTCACTTGATGGTCCACTTTAGATCCTCAGATATGAGATATCTATTGTATCCATCATGAGAGGTAATATACTTTGACTGCGTCAAATATCGTCTTTAACCGGATGATTATAAAGGCGTGGCTCGGGTACATTACGAATCATGAAGTGGATAGTGGATAGTCAAGATGGAACTTTATCCCTCTCAAAAGAGAGAGATATCGCTTGGGCCCATCGTAGGAGTGAGACAGTAGAAATGTGTGACCGCAATATAGATGAATGTCATCTATCTCTTACAGTCTATTCAGGATACGATAAAGCAATCGAACTATGAGTTCAATTATGATATTGTGAGACAAAGAGGATCATCGTTAGAGCTATCTCTGGCTTTTCGGTTAGATCACATCTAAATTTTTCCGATACAGATAATCATAATGTCTTGCTAGAGACCGCTTATGATTTGTAAAGTGAGATTGGATCTCGGGTTTTCTGCCTTATTCGGAGGAGCCTAAAGGGTCACACACATATGGGATGGATGTGTGATAATACGTATTTTGTGTGATGTTTTGATATAGGATGTCTAGCATATTTCACTCGGGTTTACATATTTGTAGACATTCTAGGGCGCATTTGCCTTCGATATTGGTTGGCTGTGTTCTTTAGTGTTTAAACAGGAATCCACACATAAAGAGAGCAAAAGAAGTGAAAAACGTGGATTTCGGAACATCGCGGACGAACCGAGAACATTTGGAGTGTTTCGAGAGAAAATGTGAAACTCAAGAAATGTCAGATCTTGCAAGTCCGATAACTTTCACTCTACAAGTCCAAATCATGCATTCTATATACCATTGCAAAGCTCTCCTTGATATCTACGTGTAAACACCAAGATCACCCAAATCCGATGTTGGAGCAAGAAGTTATGAGCAAATTCGTGAACCCCGTCAAAACTGCGATGTGACACGATCGTGTCACTTGTGTGGACACGATCGGGTCACTTAAAATCCGGAAATTTTCCAAATTTTTCCAAAAGAAAGAGGGGATAATTAGGGTTAGCCTCTAAGGTCGAATTCATTCATACTCTTCACAGAAAACACACCCTAGAGCACACAAAAAGAGGGAAATTATCAAGAGGCAAGAGATCGGAGTAGAAGTCGAAGATTACGAAGTCGAGAAATCGACTAAACATTCTTCCTTTCTTTTATTTTACGATGTTTTGTTGTATTGATATGAACCCCGACGTCTCGATGATTAGCTAGTAGTTCCATAGCTATAGGTTAGGCATTTGCTATGTAGGGATCTTTGGTTTTTAATTATAGACTTTGTGGATTTGTTTATTCTATTCAGTTTATTGAATTGTTCTTAATGTTTTCGATCTTGTTAACCGCTTGATTGAATGAACTTAGGGTTTTAATTCACATAGACATATGAGATTCTAACCTGGAACTAATTCAATAAATAGAATATGTATCGCATCGGGAGATGAATATTTGCCTATGAATCATGATAGCGTTCGTTCATGCATCAAGAGTTTTAGACTATTGAATCGGGAGATTGGTGGGATTAAACCTGGATAGTGAGATTAGACTTGGAAGAGTTAATCTCTACCTTAGAGCTTGAATTCCCTGGATTGGATAGATAAACCACTAAGTTTGCATCTTT